AACTAGAAGCTCTGGTAAGTGCATTATGAGGAACCAGAGGACCATTGGATACGCTGCTTAGTATTTTTCTAAGTATGATAATTGAACCAGAGGCTCTGGTCTTGAAACCAGAAGCTCTGGTAAGTGCATTATGAGGAACCAGAGGACCGATGGATAGGCTGCTTAGTATTTTTCTAAGTATGATAATTGAACCAGAGGCTCTAGTCTTGTAAGCAGAAGCTCTGTTAAGTGTATTATAAGAAACCAGAGGATCGATGGACGAAAATTCTATGATTATTCTAAGTATATATGTGAACCAGCAGATGACAATTGGAATTCTAATCAGTTGTCAGGGAACCGATGGATAAGAAATCCTTCTTTAAGGACTTTAGTGTGACAAGAAGCTCTGGTCATGCAATCAGAAGCTCTGGTAGTGTAACCAGAGGCTAAGTTCAGAGGATCCAGCATGATTGTCACTATTAAGTATTGTTTTAGAAGTTTCCATTGTATCACCAAGCGTTTGTTAGATGGTGCATTTTAGTGATTAAGACTATTAATGTCGCATATCTCTATGATGTCGTCCGATCCTAGCGAATACTCAGCCGATGAATCCAGTTACGTGGTTGGTCGCTCTAGAAGGAACTCAGCTCGCAATGAAGAAATAGACCCGTATGAACAAGACACGGCAACTAGTGAAGCAGCTGCCACTCCTCAAGCATCTTTCTTACCCCCAACGGAGCCAGTACCCGATGTTCCACCACGAACCTATCATGGCTCAAGGATCAGAGTCACGCCAAGGAAAAGCGTTCCACTGCCTCAACGAGTGACATTTGAGAATTCATCTAGAGTGAGAGGAGAGCCATCACAACCACAGCAAGGGCACAGGCTACCCCAAATAGTGACTGGAGTGCCTGCATCCTATACCCAAGGCATGAGCCCGACTGAACGAGAATGGGTGCAGAGGATTGCATCTGACACGCAGACTCACCAGACCCGGCTGGGATACCATCACCACATCCTAAATAATCTGTCCGATGTGATGGAAGCACACCATGAGAGTATGAGAAGGAACGCGTATGCTGTCGCTGCAGCAAGGCATGAAATAAGGAAATTGTACAAATGGATGGTAGTAAGTAGTGTGATAATGCTAATGATGGGAATCATCATAGGATGGATGTTCTAGGATGGAAATTAGGGATAGAATACCCACTCTTTTGCCTAGTCATGTGAGGTGTTGTTTTCATGGTTGTAACCGTCTATGAATACATGGCATCTTTGGAGAAATGTTCAATTATGACAGGCCTTTATGTGTATAAATTTAAGTCATGTGGTTACATAAAAGCTTGAATATCTCTCCATGTGATGAATACCCCCTTACATGCATTGTTATATTATTGATGAACTCCCTTATGATTTAGACCATAGAAAATGACGCCAAGGAGAGAGAACACCGAAGTTGCACGACTTGTGTCAGAGCAACTGTTGGCCGCACTGCCCAGCGTTGTCAGTCAAGTGGCGGCAGGGCTTAATACAAACCCATCATCAAACCTTGAGTCTAGACCACCCAGAGAATGCACTTACAAAACCTTCAGATCCTGCAATCCAAAAGAATTCAATGGGACTGAGGGGGCTGTAGGACTTTTGACTTGGATAGAAAGTATGGAATCTGTTCTCCATATCAGTAAGTGTTCTGAAGCAAACAAAGTAGAGTATGCGGCATGTTTGTTGCAAGGGAGGGCACTTACCTGGTGGAATAC